ACTGTTCGAAAATGGGCCCTGTTTGTTTAATGAGGCGGCACATTTGTGTACCTTAGATTGTGAAGCACATGTCTACTCATGTTCCTTTACTTCGCTCGATCTTGAACTGCTCCCATATTAACCAGTTCTGACACCGCGTGTCTTCCGCATACTCAACCTTTCCACACCAGTTACTCTACAACTCGATTTTTTGGAGTCAATGAATCTATCTCAACATCCTTCGTAGCCGTTTTTTCTTATTTTTATTTTTATAATTTACGACCGGAAGCAGAAGCTGTCGGATATATACCATTCATTTATCATTATTAATATTTTGCCACCTCCTATACTTCTTTTTTCCACTGTTCACTACAACTGCTCCGATTTCCTGTGGTGACGGAATGAAACTTCCGGATTGTTTAATCCACCCACATATGGCGAATTGTCAGAGACATACTGGTGAGAAAAAACATGCCAACTCAAGGCCAGTGAGCACACACTCGAATGGCAAAGGTGTCAGACTCGAAAAAGTCGGAAGCCGAAAAATATGTAGGCTCACTTATCTTCGCGAGCCTATTACTCATTTAAATAAGAACGGCCATAAAAATGAGGTAGTGTGGGGATGTCTCGTTTGCTATTATTCCACATCGACACGAAGCCAAATTGGACTTGGAAGTGCGGATGAAACCTTTTGAACGAATACCCCGCATAGAAGCAGGTCCCCAGGAGTCGGTTCCACGGATAGCCGTATTAATCCTATTGTGCATTTTCAATAACCACTCATAATACTTTCAAACTCTCCTTTTTCCCATTTCTATCAACTGAACTCCTAGACCTGTTTTTTGTACTGTTCCGGCAACTCTGAAGTAACATGTGCACTTTGAGATCATGTTGTACCATATGATCAATCCGAGTAGTTAGACTTTAACTCGCACAATCGAGAAAAATACATACTCATTCATTGGATTTTTCGCCCATAGCCTTCAGTCCATAACAAGTCGTTAAGACTCAAAAGCCTTGGTGGTTATTTTGATAATTTTGAAGACTGTTGTCGAAATGGCACGGCGCTGATGGATCTCGTTTCGAAGCAGTGCTTCTCGTAGACCATTACACTCTTTGATTACCTCCGATTACTCTGAGGGGTAGTGAGCGTCAAAAATAAACTCGATCAGCTCAATCGAAAACAGTTTTCATGTCAAAATGCATGTCGTGTTGAATTGTCTTTATCTATGACACTCTTTTATCACCCTCTGCTGATGGCAGTGGCAACCTGGTTCTCTTATGAATGGAAGGATTTTGGTGAGTATTTCTGTTCGTAGCAATCAGCCGACAATTCAGATATGTCGACCAGCTGTCCGGAAAAGCACCAGACGGCCGTTTCGCCCTATTGGGGCTCATCAGTGGTGCGCATCCTTCGGTCCTCTGTGGAGGATCGAATCCATGACTGCTAGTGGCTCTTGCCAACTAGCCCGCAGCTTATGCAACTGCGCCATGGAGGACGGTATCTGACTATCGTGAATTGTTAGCTAAATGCGATATAGCCCGACGCATCCTCCACTGCCATGCAGGCACCTGCCATGCAGATGACAGCGGTCGGCCTTCCGGCGTCAGGACTTCCCGGTTACGGCAGCTATGAATCGACATAGCATTTTGTGGAATCCGTACGGGCGAATTGGTATTACTTATGAATGGAAGGATTTTGGTGAGTATTTCTGTTCGTCGCAATCAGCCGACAATTCAGATACCGTCCTCCATGGCGCAGTTGCATAAGCTGCGGGCTAGTTGGCAAGAGCCACTAGCAGTCATTGGTTCAATCCTCCGCAGAGGACCGAAGGATGCGCACCACTGATTAGCCCCAATAGGGCGAAACGGCCGTCTGGTGCTTTTCCGGATAGCTGGTCGACATATCTGAATTGTCGGCTGATTGCGACGAACAGAAATACTCACCAAAATCCTTCCATTCATAAGTAATACCAATTCGCCCGTACGGATTCCACAAAATGCTATGTCGATTCATAGCTGCCGTAACCGGGAAGTCCTGACGCCGGAAGGCCGACCGCTGTCATCTGCATGGCAGGTGCCTGCATGGCAGTGGAGGATGCGTCGGGCTATATCGCATTTAGCTAACAATTCACGATAGTCAGATACCGTCCTCCATGGCGCAGTTGCATAAGCTGCGGGCTAGTTGGCAAGAGCCACTAGCAGTCATGGATTCGATCCTCCACAGAGGACCGAAGGATGCGCACCACTGATGAGCCCCAATTGGGCGAAACGGCCGTCTGGTGCTTTCCGGACAGCTGGTCGACATATCTGAATTGTCGGCTGATTGCGACGAACAACCTGGTTCTCGCTTCCCCGACATTCAGGAAAACTTGTGTCTTACCGCTCGGTACGCTGCCTGTGTGCATTGTTCGGGCACTTAAAACATCGTTGATATTTCGTTCCTTTGATGCATTTTTCACAATTATTTTTACTCATTTGTTTTGGAAACGGTCAGTTCTCCTTTCTTCGCATTATGCGGTATCGTTTGGTCGCATGATTTCAACATCTTTGGCGGTTTCAGGTGATGCACAGTTCACCGCAGTGAAGTTGGCCCCTGAAACTGCTCGCATGGATGCGTCACAGCAAGATCGACCTACAATTTCTTTGCTCTGTGACCGACACGTCCGATACGGCTTGCCTATATGACGTAACTTTATAGTTATAAACGGACATTGTTTGACATTCCGAATGAGACTGAGGAATCTCTTGGTTGATCTTCCATTGGTGATTTTATCCACGTAGTTGTGTATTTGGTATGCAATTTCTTTTCCGTTTCTTCCTGGACATCTTTCTCTGTCACTCTTGATTATCTAATATGACCTTGGCGAAATAGGCACATGTGGTTCGCTTCCAGTCTACCCTGTGACAGATGTGCTGGCTTAAAAAGGAGTTCGCGCCGCGTATAGCTCACAACGCTGAATTCGGTTTACTGTATTCCACTTAGTTCATTCTAATTGATCAGTCGACATTTGTGCTCAAACGTGCACTTGATTCCGCTACCTAACCCCACATCTTCATGGTTATATTAATCACTGACACTGTGAAGGGTGATGTGGACTCTAAATCACCCTCCACAGTGTTGGATCATGCGCACAGTTTGCTTACAAAAACAGTGGACTATATCACGGGCCATGCTCTCAGCCAGCGTCAATTCAGCCAGGTGTTGAAACATATAGATAATTCGTTTACCAATATTCCATTCTACACTGAAGTTGTCATTTCACACTGAGTGCTGAAGAGATTTTATTTGTTAAGACAGCAAATTATAATACTTCTGCAGATGGAAGGTCAAGCAAGACACGGATCACATGAAATGTGAAAGTTAGCTCTAGGATCTGGCTTCTGTTGTGGACATTACTGCACCATTAACTTATCTCTATTTGAAGTCGAAAGGAACAAACAAGCTCATCACTCAGTTGTAAGATGACATCAAGTGTTTCCTTACAAATTTGTGCTTGTGGGAGTCACAGCAATCCATTGTAAATTTAGTTCATTTTCCTATATGCAATATGCTGAATGACACTGCGTCTGGAATCGTTTTCAAAAGCTTTTTTGTGAAAGATTCCATGTTTTCTCGGCTCGTGCATGCCAGTTTGGGATATTCTCAACACCACCCACCTTACATGTTGCCAAGATAGAAAAAAGCCTGCAAATGGAACTGTTAGAAATGTGGTCTGATTCTACACTCAAGGCAAAGTATCTTGTAGGGGGAGTACCTAGTTTCTTTTCATACATTCCTGAATAGTTTAGAAACGCCAGTAAGTTTATCACAAAGATTATTGAAATGTTCTGTTATACCTACTTTTTCGAGCATTTATTTTCATTCATGAAAGTAACACCAACTTCTCAGCGAGCAAGGCTGACTGTTCAACTATGTCATCTCTGATCAGAGTCAGAATTGCGCAGACATTTCAGCCAGATCTAGCAGTAATTGTCTTTAAGCAGAGTTGTCAATTGTCAAGAAAAATCACTACAAAGATTCACTCTGTCTATGCCACCATTAAGGATTTGATTTTTACTTTTGTTAAACTACTTCAATCCCTTGCATCTGTGAATGTGACAAATCGCTAAATCATCTACACGCACATTATGTCACTAACTTGAAGTAATAGAAATATTGTGCAACCATGGCTTCAATTTCTTGTCTTATGCGACTTTCATGCTAACAAAATGTGCCCATGCGACCCTCAGGGGGTCCTGTGCTTTATACCACTATTGTAGAGGAATAATCAGGTCCGAGTTCACTGTAAATCAGCCCATCCAACAGTATTCCGATCAGCTAAGCATTGATAAGAAGCAGGTGATCGGCTGAACACGCGACACTTATGTGGACTCCGCCACTGATGATTGTTATCTTTGAAGCATAGCACGGACTTTTACAGAAGTAAAATTAAACAGGGCCTTTGGGATCCCATTTCCCTCAGACAGGAAAATAATGTGTGCCGTCGATTTTGACCTTGTCCTCGGTATGGCTAACTTTGGTGGTAGAAAACACACACTCATTTGAATACTCAAGCATAGACCAAGATGCTGGCTTTTACATAGGGTGCATGGTGTATAGGCCATTAATGCTTGAGTATGGGTGAATATCTAGCTTGCTTCTAACTGAAAGCATGGTCCTTATATCGGTTGTTGCTCCTCAGAATCTGAACGGCCTCATTGATTCTGCTAGTGTTCTTCGGCCACAGCAGTCTACTGCTTAGAATTATATTTGCACTCTGGACGCCTGCATAAGCATAGATACATCATAATTTCTGGGTTTTTTCTTACGATCTTTTGTTGGTATTAGCTACCGGCCTTGTTTATCTTTTGTCCCTCGTGCATATCATCGCTTTGCTCAACTCATTTTTGTATCACTGTTCCGCTGTTACATATCTCTCTTCCCATTGATTTGTCGACCTGACGGGGCAAAACTACCTAGTTTTCCTTCACAATTTCCTCCTCAAATGTCTTCTTACTTGCGATCTCCTTTGCTGCAGCTCGCCCACTTCCTTCTCCCAGGATAGCCGACTCAGTCGTTTGGGCAGCGCCGACATTTTGGCCGTCGGTGGGACTGCTTTGACTACGGCAGATACCTCGGAACATCTTACCGGCAAATCATTGCGCCATTTCGTCCAGTCTTCGCTCCGTTCACATCCTGGAAACGAAATTTGCGCTGACTGTGGCCGGCCAGGTGAGTACCGAAGACTCCACACTCTTACGTGTGTTTTCGACCGTTGCTCTTAACAAATACTGTTAACTTTCTCATTGTGTATAGCCAGCCTCATTTTCTCTACCAGCTATCCATAGTTCGTCTTCGTCATTGTTTCCCTTTTCTACCATTGATTGGCTAACCACATAATGTCTTGCTTTAGTCTATTCCTGGTCGGCCGGTTGCTAAGACTGGTGCACAGGCTCACTGTTCGTGCTGTTCCCTTAACATTTCAGTTATTAGGTCCAGGCTGGTTTCTCTTCTAGGCACGCTTCGTTCCTATCCTTCACCCTCATCGTTAATAACTACAGACAGATTTTTGTTGGTGATTGTGTTCATGGGCTTTGATACAGCTAAGCGTTCAAAATACATTTTACGCGCTGACGCTTCCTTCCTCCTCGATATACGTCCTTCGCCTCGCATTTTACCTGTGCGCACTTCCACCAACTTGAAGAGTGGACCCAGGTATAAAAATTTTTCAGTCGTCTAAACTTAGTAACACCTTTAGATTCCATGCAACTAGTCCGGATTTGCTAAATTCATCGTTTTTCTTCGATCGTTTTCACCCTCTGATCAGTTTAGCTTAACTTGCCAATGTTGTTTTTCACCTGCGAACATAGATTCTTACATTTATTTTCGCCGCGTCATCCCAAGTAGGACTTTTTATCCAAGCTGACTGCTCCTCTAGTGCTTGGTGGCCACTTCCATGACACTTGAGGCATTATGGAATATTAACCCTCCGTTCCTTTAATTTTGAAAGCGTTTGCTCTTTTCCTATTCTTTGCATAGTTCTTGTCACACACACACACCCTCATGAAATTACACAAACACAAAGATAGCAAGTAGATCTCAAAAATGTTTTTTATTCAGGCCGTCTTGTTTTTGTTCGTCCTATCACGTAACTGTCGCATTCATCATTCTGTCTCTTCTTGTTTCAGATCCGGAATGGGTTAGTGTGAATCTTGGCGTTCTGATTTGCTTGGAATGTTGCGGAGCTCACAGGGAGCTGGGTGTTCACTGCTCACGTACCCAATCCTTAATGATGGACGAATTGTCGACAAGCCAATTACTGGTAAGCTTCTGAGCGAGAATGTATCTCCATTCCCCCTCTTTCACCTCATCAGTCACATGTTCATCTTTTCGGACCCTGTGCTTCTGTTCGCCAACACATGTGGTCGGTGTACCTAGCCGTTGGCTCCTTGTATCCACCCTGTTTCGAATGCCTTTGAATGCTAGAGCAGCAATACCACAGGGAACAGGAAACGGACAGTTATTTGTACTCCTTTTGTCCTGCCATTCATATCGTATCTTTTGGATTGGCATTCCTGCCACTTGAAAACACTGAGCATGCGGACGACAGCTATCTTGGGGTCTGCCACAGTAGTTATGCAAACATTGATGCGTAAGCTGCACGCTTCGGCATTTGCTTTGCAGTTTCACTACTGAGCCGATACGCCACCCGTTCTAGCTATTACCGAACAACCACTGGAGGTGATCGACCAGCTATTCACCTCAGTGACACCTCATTGAAGATACTACTTGTTGTCTCCCCGCTGAACGTTCCAGGCTCCCTTGATCACAAAAATACACGAAGATAAACCTGCACCAAATTGTATGCATGAGGACACTGCTTCCTTATGTAAGGTACAATAGTTACTGAAGCAAACCTATTAAGCACGTTGTGGCCAACCAACATTAGAGGAAACACCAACGAATACGAACGAATGAGAAGTGGCAAAAGAAAGAGCCAATCAGGCGACTTCGAGGAAGCGCCATTAGCGGAAATAGACCCCTGTGATAGCATCTATTATGAACCACCTAGGCCAGCCAATCGGAGCAAAGGTATGATGGGTTCAAATTTTTGTCAAAAAACGAACGATGGCTAAACGAAAGCAGACGACTAAGAATCATGACAAAAATAAATGTCCATTGGGCATCTCCCTAACACTACTTCATGCACCATCCTCCTCATCATCGTCAGTATACGCGTTAACTGCTGGTGGAAAACACCTCAGCTATTGTGCCGCAATACAAAAGACAAGAAAAAAGAGGCACTCCGGCTGAGTCCCCAGTAACGGATAGGCATCGTTGCGGAGAACTAGCAACCAACTATCGTGCCGCAATAAGAGTTATATTCTGCCTAACGAATGAGATCATGATTTGAGCTGGAGGCTAAGCAGCAGGGAGTGGACAATGGAACTCACAACGCAAACATCATTGAGGTTCGCTACTCGCCATGTCAGCTACAGTATCCAACCAAACGTCTTCATCGTCCTTCAGTCCCCAGCCCGGCAGTTGGGAAACACCAATCGACGCCAATTTCGAAGTGGGGGCTTCATTCCGATCGACTGACTCATCGTTTGGCCTCCCCTCCTCTTCTAACCGCACCCCCGCCGTGCAAACAACGCCCGTCGCCAGGGTCGGTGTTCTGGCATGCGCAACACGTGTCCAAGCCAACGGAGCGTGGTGCATGATATGATGGTGCTGAGCGGTTCACTCGCTCTTCCTGCACCAAATACGCGACTCTGAACTGGATCATTATTCACGCGGTTCTCCTACCAGACATGAGCTGCGGAGGCAGCGATGATCGAACGTGACTAGCCTCTATGTGTCTGTCGGTCAGCTTTCACAATCGTGTAATAATGCGCCAGCAAGGCCTGTGTGACTTTACAGAAACTCGCTGATGTGCCAAAATTATATGTATCAATATGTCGGCCACAGATAGAGCGACAAGGTCGCGATAAGACTGGTGATTTTGCATGGATCGGAGCCATGGCCACTTCGTTTTTACTCACTTCAGCTGTATTAACCATCGTTGATCACTAGTGCTTTTGGAGCATTTCTCAGATCCGGTGGGAGCACGAAGAATCAGGTGCTAAAGTATCCCAATTAATGTTTGCGTAGATACCCCCTGGTGCCTCGTTGCAGCATCTGCTAAGCTCCAACCACTTCCATTGGCGAAGCCATATCTTCCGTCTTTCTCCTTGTGCGCTATGTACCTGGTACATATAAGGTAGTGAAGCCTCGAAGTGCACAGTCGATGGCGTGGCATAGACGTAAAGAAATTCACTGACAGATTTGGTCTTTCCTGTACTTGTCCTCTTCGAAGTTGGTTACTTCGCTGTTGGTCCCATCAGTAGTTGGAGACCTCATGGGACACGGGACATTAGTATTGTCAATGGCGCTGCGGTATCAGCGGTCTTGCATCTGTTTACTGATAGATATTCCTTCTCGAACCCCTTTCTCGCTTTTTAATGATATGTTTTTTTCTTTGTATGTCCGGCCTCGTTCTCCTTACCATTGTTAATTCTCGCTACCCTAGTGGCATTTAAACCCCCTGAACTCTTCTACCTCTGGAGATCACAGTTGTTTGACTGAACTATGAGTTTCGCCACTTAACATCCTTTTTGACACTGTCTGACGTCTGTTTTCGATTCAAAATTGTCAGATACTCTGTCCCCGTTTAGCGGTTTATTTTGGTGCCTAACCTCCGATCCGAGCAACATTTTGCCACGAATGCGTCGTCGTCGCCATTGCACGATTTTATTCTTTTTCTATGTTAATGTGTTAGTTGCGTACACAACCATTGACCGCGCTCTTTTTTCATCGCTCACTCAACCGCCTTCTCGTTTTACTGTTTGTCTTGTGTTTACATGACATAGTGCTCATTGGTCCTTTCGGGCTCCTTCACAAGATGGCCTCACTCCAGATCGATCATCTCAAATTTGTAATCGGCTGCCAGTAGCGCTCACGTCCATTATGTTGTGTGGCTCTCTGCTTCGCCTATCTCGTCTAGGGCTTGTTCAAACGTTGACCATAGCAACCTACTTTTTACGTAGACGTTATTCTTTCGCTGGTGGTTTGTAAGCTCTTTATTTTCTCACTGCAGGATTCCTCTTCATTTTTCTAATTCTTGTCACTAATGGCTTTCATTCGACACATTCTGGTTAAAGAAGTTCTCGTATCAAGAGCGAAACATAGCAACATCCCATACTTTTCCGAAACATATTTGTGTTTGAAACCCTCTGAACTTAGGTATTCTTCTCTTACTCTTGTGAGAGGATCAGAGTATCCGAATAGTGTATGATCTCTTAAGATCTATTTTTCACTCTGCCAATGAGAATTCCCCACCGGTTCCCGGGCTCCTCTCTAGGTGATACTATACTTGACTGTGGTAAACGCGGGTGCTGAAATGTGCGAATTTGCGTACATTTTTTCGTAAATAGTATACTTGTCTTGATTCACGGGTGAAGATCACCAGAAACACCTGCGATAAGTTCACAATTACTGGACACACCTAGGTGCCCGCATGAATACCTTTTCAAACCAATGCAGTGACCGGAGGAGAATGCTACTTTATGGCATGCTTTCTACGTTCGACCATAACTGCTTTCACAGCTGAGCTCACGTCTGGTGGGAGCACCGCGTGAACTATGAGCCTGTTCTGCGTTGCGTATTTGGTGCAGGAAGAGCGAGTGAACCGCTCAGCACCATCATATCATGCACCAGGCTCCGTTGGCTGGGCCACGTGTTGCGCATGCCAGCACACCGACCCTGACAACGGGCGTTGTTTGCGCGCCGGGGGTGTGGTTGGAAGCGGAGGAGGGGAGGCCAAGCGATGACTTGGTCTAGAGGAATGAAATCTCTTTTCGAACTTGGGGTCAGTTGGTGTTTCCTAACTGTCGGGCTGGGATCCCAGGGACCATGAAGACGTTTGGTTGGATACTGTAGCTGACATGGCGAGTAGCCAAACTCAGTGGCGTTTGTGTTGTGAGTCTCGTTGTTCCTTCCGTCTCCGTTAGTTCGCCCTGCAACAGCGACCTCAATCCAATGCATTATGGGATTTTAGCATTATGTTTCTTATCTAGCTTTCATAATCTGTGAGGTATGTGGCACATTAGCTGTGGTGTGTTTCTCACCCTCGGTTAACGTGTATTCATGATAGTGATAATGGTGAGGATATAATTCTTAATCTTGTGTACTTACCTGTTTTTTTGATACTATTGACTATTGCGCAGTTAGCTCCTTGTTCTACCTTGCCGACAGTTGTGGCTCGGTGGACGAGCTTTGATTACAAATTGGGTACGTTCGGATACATCCGTCTCCGTCCAAATGTGTAGATTCGCGAGTAATGCATTCACACCCTATGAGTACCATCTGTCTTGTAACATTTGAGCGTCACCTACTCCAAAAGCGTTTACTTTGCGTTATTATTCTCAAGAAACGTACCATATTATAAAAAGTTACTTTGTTCCTGCGGGTTTTGTATTTTTGCTTAGCATCCATGTTTGAATTTTGTCTCACGATCACTGCGCACGCCTTGCACTTTCTTCCATTCTTGCGTCCGTTTGTTGGCTACAAACACGCTACTTTTTGCTTCTGTTTTTCATCGTTGTATCATTGTGCGTGTTGTTTTGTCTATGGACATCCCATTGTTTGTGTTTTTAATATCTTTGTTACTTCGGTGGATCCTTGTGACTTCGTCAACGCCATCCGTATTTGCGTTTTTTCGCTTCCATAGATCCCTCGTTTTGTGGGCAACCGTTTGTTCAATGAGGTTTTCGAATCGTCGCTTGCTAGCGGTGTCAAACCGAAAGCCGCCGACAATGTCACGTAAGTCTCGCTCTTTGTACACTGCAGATGCTTTGTTTTTTACCGAAACACCGGTCCTGCTTGTTCAACCAACCCTTAACCCCGGATATTATTATTAGTGATTTAATTTTACCCTAGCCTGTGATGTAACTACTGCTTCGTATTAAAATAATTCAGACCAGCGACCCCAGCACTTTTACAACTTCAACGCTTCCTTAAGTGTCCTCCGCATTTTTTTCCTCTTTAGTTCTTTGATTGTTTCTTTTCATAAACTGTTGCACTGATCTGCTCTGCAAACAAAAGTAAATTTTTCTTCCTGCGAACTTTATGGGCTCTGGGTTACAGTTATCACTTCGTGTTATGAACTTTTTCTTATGGATGCACTCGCGGTGAAACATTGTATACGTCTAGCCCGTGTTATGGGCTCTCATCAGATAGTGGATACCACTCACACACTTGCACACCTGGCTTGCAGTCGCAAGGTCACCGGTTCGAATCCACATAGAGACGGGCCTCTTCGCAGTACGCTCAGCTCACACGAGACGGCTGGTGGTCACGCGGCAGAGAATCGCCGTTACGGCGTAAGGCTAGTGATTATTATTATTATTATTATTATTATTATTATTATATTACTCACACACCAACCTTCACCTTCTTGCACATTTTGCTTGCGCGGTTCTCTGCAACCACAGTTTTTAATTAAGCTATTTGTCTTCTCAGTTTCGCCAAGTTTGGCTCGCACGCGGAGTTAACGGTATCCAATATATTTTATCAGTAACTAGTGTTCGGCCTAAACATCATATTTTGCTTTGTTTATTTCGTCCCGGATAATCCTTGAAGAATTCTTTGACTGAAATACCCCGCTTCTAACCATGCTGAGCCATCAACTGCGTTAGCCGCTTGAATTATTAAGGACATTTAGACCACATCGCTGTCCTCATGCGGTCGAGCGATCTTTGATGCCTCTTTATTATTCCCTTCTTTATCCATCCCGATGTTGCCAATGATTTTTAATCTGGGCTGCGTTTTCATTCCACATGGTCGATAATCCACTTGCCGGTTCAACTGGTCACGAGCTGAGCCTTGATGTTTGATGTTTGGGGAGAACGCCCAAACGCACCTTTACAATTAATCGCTATTTAATCTGGTAAGTTGGTCTAGGCGTTAGCACAACGATGCGCACGTGAATGTGGTGGTGGGAGGCTAAAGACTACTTTAAATCGGGTCGACCAAACTTACTGCAAGATACCACTTCTTGTCATCATGATCCCCGTAGTTACACTGCCTTGCGTAGATTGCCACCACCATACAAGCACATTTTCTGTTCTCTGCTCCTTGATACAGTCCGAATTTTTCCGCTGTATCTTCGGTGGCAACAGCTCATCTAAACACATGTTCGTTATTGGAACATGAGTTTGCGCTCTTGCGGTTTCTTTTATCCTTCTGTCTCTGCGCGTGGAAAACTATTTGCTTTGGAAGCTGGTGCGACAAACTTTCGGTTAATTACATCAAAGGTTTCTTACCCCTAAGTGCATCTAAATATCCGTTCTGACAGTTTTTAAATGCTGTCTTACATATTTAGTTAGTGTCAGTGAACGTCGTATCTTTCTGGACCAGCCTTATCTACTACAGCGTTCGTAACTTGCAGGACAGTATAGCATATGACGTGTTATAACACAGTTAGTTAGTAAATCATGACGTTCCGACACCTTCCCCCGTGACCCGGTGACATAAGCTGCTGACTGGCGGTGCAAGCCGCTGCTTGTCATGGGTTCCAATCCTGATGACTCCGATTGATGGGCACCACTGATGATGCACAACAGGCTGAAGCTGCCGTCCAGTGCTTTTCCCACCAAGCGGAGGACCATCTGATTTAGAACTTGGTGCGACGAACTTTCACTTCTTTTTAAAACATGTTTGTACGGGTCCGCGTGAACACTGATCGTGTGAAAGGGTTGCGACACCCAATCTCAATGTAGGCTGAGCTTCGGATTGAAGTGACTTTTGGCGAAGTCGATCACTGGGACCCAACTGCACCTTCTGGCTGACATGCTGAAGGTCCCGGGTTTAAGTCCAGTTCTATCATATCGTACTGGTGAGGGCAAATAGGTTAGAAAACAATTGCAGGGTGCAGTATTTTCGGATGGGCAATACGCACTAATCAACTGCTTTATCAGTTACGCTCCAAGGGATCGAATTTCATAAGGTTCACTTCTATGCGAATCGCGATTTAGTTTGCGAACTCCAGTTGTTTGAGCGTCTAACTACCCCATTAACTGTATGTTTGACTTGGGTGTTCTATTTTAAAACGTATGTCACATTTAAACATCGAACCCGAGTTCTGCTGTGGCGGATTCATTTGAGACAATTGTGTCAACCTGTCCTCGCTCCACCATCGCTATCAGTCTTTCGCGTTTTCGCGACAGCACTGGAATACACCTTACCTGAAGCCTGCTCTCATTAACAAGCTTATTCGTGGTATTTGTATGTTCCAATTTTCTCACAATCATTTAACAAGCATGTCGTCTAGCTGCATCGGGATATCCTTCATTTGTGCCATGACCATATCGTTTTAGCGACGGATCAAACATGTTACAGAGACGGAGCTTCATTAAGGCTAAATACGTTAATCGGAAATTCGTCACTTCTACAACACGCGTATTTCGCACTGATTCCTCTACATCGCTTCCAAATGGTGAAGAACAACGACATTCGAACATTGAGGATACTTTGTCCGAACGCTTTTTGCGCCGGGACCTTCTACGTGCAGTAAAACAGCGTGACCTGGCCGCATTGTTACAGGTAATTTTCGTTTTGTTACCCTACTACCGTTTTCTCGACCTCCAACATGTGGTTTTCTTGCGTCATAATGACGATGATTTTCCCGCATTCTTGACGTTTTACTATATTTCAAACCCAGACTATTCACAAGCCTATTCTATGCGGTATTTGCTACTTCAAAGGCGGATTTATCGCTCCCTTTTGAAATCAGACTCATGAAGTGTCCAAGTCTGCTAATACTTGATCTACAGTTAGATTTATGCCTCACCTTTAGACAGCCTTATTTTAGGATTTCATCGCTCTTCTCCACACCAGTCGCTCTCTGACGAGGTTAGCTATCATTTTCAGAACGAACAGTACCCACTGCGGCAACACCCTTGTGGTTGTCCGCTCTACCAATTCTGTGCTATCGCTGTATCTTTGCGTAAACGAATTTGAAACACCAGCTTCCAGGGTGTGGCAATTTCTATGCTTTTACCTGGCACCCCAGTTTCCTTACCTTGACTGATTCTCATCTCCATCTGAAACTGCCCCTCTGCATTACTAGGTTTTTGCCGAAAGATTTAATTTGATGACTCCATTTCATCCTGAAGACGATGACGATGGCACTTTTGGCCAAATCTCTGGAATGACCGCTCTTCATGTGGCAGTCCAGTGCCGATCCATCAACGAGCTCTCCTCCCCGCTGCCTTTGATTGAGTTTATTCTTCAAAATTCGCCCTTGTAAGTCGTGCACTTCTGTTTCGGTTCCTTCTTATGCTTGCGTTTACAGCAACTAGAAAACTACCGTACAGCAGTGCGTTATCATTTATTATTATTAAGGCCGCTGTTCACTCGAATGACCCGGTATTTCATCCCCAAGGTACCGACCCTTTGCCTTAAGGCTCACAAGCCTGCCTTGTAATCAGAGGGCGCGGGTGCGAGCCTGTGTGAGAACTGGGCGACCATCGCAGTATCCTTAGTCCACGTTCCGCAAGTAACGGTTGGGCGGCAATGAAGGGTCAGTACTACGTATCGACTTACTGGTTATACCTTTTTTCTGCGTTCATTCACATGATAATGCGGGTGTATGGATTTTCTCCTTACCTTCGTCACCACTCACCTAAAACTTTTGGTAGTCACGTTTGCTTTTGCGTCTCCGTTGCTACTCCGCAACCCATTTGTTCGCAGACAGCAAATGTTGCGTGAGTTTTGCGCGGATTGCTGTCAAATCACACATTTTTAACTGCCAATCTTCTGGCTTTATTTTCCACCATAGCGTATTGGTGCATACGCGATATTGTGCCAAATGTAGACGCGTCTTTTTGTCGACATTCCAACGCTTTGCACACCGCGTTCGTGTTCTGATTTTTTGTTTCCTTCATGTTCACTCCTGTACACGCTCCTTTTTTAACGCGGACCCTTCAGTTCTACTGCCGTCCTATTTGTCCGTCTTCGCGATTGTTTTTTTTATAGTCGTTATGGGTGACCGATGCAACTTACGTGACATTTGCAGGGAAGAATGCTAGCGACCTGGGTGTGAGTGGCCTTCTCCGCTGTGTTCTACTGCTATTATCCTCATATCTCTACAACATTCCTATTTAGACTGCCTGATGGATAGTCTCCACGTATGCGACAGAATCTATTAAAAATACTTTGGCAATTCACTTCAAAACAAGTCCGGAAGTCAGAAGTTCGTACTAATTGCAAAGTAGATCACAAACTCACTCGATACGCACCTCAACAGTGTGCATTTCCAACCTAATTTCGTAACAACATGCAATTTGGCACAATTGGCTTGCAAATTTGGTATCGGAACAACATGTAGGTAACTAATGGTATTTTTTGTATACGTGATGAAAGAGGAACATTCCGAAGAGCACGGGTGAATGGTTTACAGGCGCGCTCTACACTCACATTACTGTCTCACAAGTAAGTAAATAGATTTGTTTTCGAAAGGTTCGGGGCAAATGTAAATAATCATTGCGGTACCAGATGTAACAGGTATGATCTTCAGTCGAATAACCGTACAAAAATATAAGCGAGTGGATAGTTAAAGCAATATACACCAAACGCATAATGCACAGAGACGGATTCTCAAGTGCTTATAGGCCTGATAACCATAAACGTAGGGCGCGCTCGACAGTTTGGGCGGGGTTCCTGGGTCGGGAACTTAATCGCACAGTAGGGAGCATGTGTTTAGCTTCGACAAACAGAGACCCGTGTGACTCGTCTGACACTTGTTATTCCTTTCACCATACTGGTATTTTGTTTAACCCCAGTGGACGTCACGTACTTTGGCCTTCTGATCTCCGCTTCGTGGCCCTCACCAGCGTGCATGATTTCTATCACGTGTAAAACCACCGGATTGATTGGCGACCGAGTATTAGCTCGTCCATTCGAAAATCAGGTGCTTGCATGTACGCATACGCATATGTGTGGAACACACAGCGGCGATGAAGTGACGCCTACATGAAAAACTGTTCGGGTTTCCGGTTATTCACCACCATTGGAATGTAACGGCATTGTCGGTGTTGTGATGGCTAATTTCTGGAATTCTCCTATCATATAACGGTCACAACTGCCTTGAAGCTTCGTTGTATTGTCCTGTCACCATCATTTCTTATGATTATTCGTCCTTGTCACCCTTTCCGATCGAAGCACTTCTGCCTGATTGACTTACTGGCGCGAAGCAGATTATTATGAACGTTTTAGTTACACTGACGGGGTCATGTGTTTTTGTGGGTTTTGTCATCGAGTTTCTATTCAAATTCAGTGCAACTTAGCCGCCAGTAAGATTGTGTAGTGTGTAATGACAACAACCCTCCGCAACGTTAGTCATTTGCATGACAGCGGAGGACTAGGCGGGCTATGTTGTAGTTAGCCTGTAAATCATGTGGTCCGCCGCTTAGTGGCATTAGCTACTGTCTAGTGGCGCATGCCGTTAACGATCATGGGGTCGGATCCTGATTGGGCCGATAGTTGCGTAATACTGGCGAGAGTGCCAATAAGGCGAAATGACTTTTTAGTGCTTTTTCAGCCATACGAAGGACTTTGATTTGGGGATTGCTACGAAGAAGCCCCCAATTGTTGACATCATTTCCTAATGTTCCTCTGAATTTCTTATAAGTCATTCAAACGCGCTTTGACCAGCATGATTTTGCCATACACAGCTGTATGGATGGAATCGGTCTGCGTTCCACATTGGCCTTGTTTTACTAGTGGTAGTGAACCATCAACCCAACTCCTACGGATCTAATTGCTTATGTTGTGTCAGGTTGTAAACATGTTGCCATCAGTCGGGGTGGGACCATCTGTGCGGAAAAGTTGACGAATACCCATGTTGCTGGCTTTCAAGCAACATCTGAAATCCTCTAATTCTAATACGTCCCTAGTGATCGGATTAACTCAAGTCCTAGTAGGATTTGCGTGTCGCAGTACAAATATGCGGGGCATACTCTGAATCCCCCAACATTAGGCTGTAGATCCTTAGTTAACTGCTGGAAGAATGCCAATCCATGCCTAACTCTTTTCCATATCGTTCTCTGATTCAGATCTAAACTTTCGAATGGGATTTGACAAATTCTTCGGGATGTTGCTCTTGTTGAATGCTTGTTTTGCTTTCAATCTCACCCTTTCGGTTATGCTCCTATTCCCAAAGTGCAGTGGACCAATCTTCATGGATTCACGCTGCTGTAATACTAATAGTATTTACTGTAACAGGGAAGCCAGTCGTGCTTGAGGCAAAAATGCACAATGGATCCTGATTCGGAATTGCTTAACGCTTGTCTTTCTGTTACTTTCACATTTTCTCCCTACTTCCTTGCCCAACCGGTTTGCGCTTCACCTCTCCAGGCCCGACGTGCGGTACTAGCACACTTTCAGTTAATCGGATGGCAGGCATTCAGTACCGTTGGTTAGTTAGCCTGTGTATGCGGTTCAAACCAAGCGTCGGAGTCCAGGAAATTTGTCACTATCAGATAAGATTCTGGTGCCCGGTCCCCTACGCAGGCTCGAACCGGCAACTTCCGGGTTGCAAGGCAAACACTTTGCCCTTTCGGTCATTGACCGGCTCCCATCTGTTGTAGACACAACGCCGATTTCGAAAAACCTATCTGACCTCATATCCCCGTTGAACTTCTGAAAAGATTGCCAGTCGTCTTTTCTCTAACATGATAAGACCGCTGCTTGAGTACGGCTCAGCCGCCTATTGTCCGGTCACAAAAGGTGAGGTGCAGACGCTCGAACGGGTTCAACATATAACTACTCTTCTCCTTCCCAGTTTACGGGCTATGTCTTACGATGTCCGATGTAGGAGACTAAGATTGTATACCCTGTCATATAGTCGGCTTCGAGTTGATATTCTAACGACGCACCGGCTATTGCACCTAGGCCACTTCCCTATGTTAAGGTCGCTGCTGCACATTTGTGCACCAAGAAGCACATGTGGACACCGTTACAAATTGCGGTACCGGATTTAAAGCGCATCGCTCACCCTCTATGCTTCGAGCGTCCAGTGGTGTAATATTGTAACACGTTGCCGGAGATACTATATATATATATATATATAATAATATATATATATATATATATATTCTACTTTTGCACCATTGGTTCATGTCCCTGACGCCTCTTCGTGGCGACCGCTGAGTGGGAGTTGGGTTTCGCCCTTCTCCCTGGTAAGATCCAGGACACCAATCTGCATGAGTCAGTGAAGTGATCATGTGCTAGACCCGCTGCCTTTCGGGTGTACATTTAATCGAAAGCTTTGGCTGAGAACCCGAGTCGTTCTCCTGTCAGGTGTGGGTGGCGTGCCAGTATCGTAGTCCATCCTCTTCGGAGGTTAGGAAGTGGTCGGCCGACCTCTTTTTGTAAATCCTAGCCATGGGTTATAAGCTCACAGCTCGATTGGCGTAGAGCACGAGCGCCACGCATTGTCTCTTACGGTAGGAAGGCCCCTCCGGGTGTTAAATGGTTTGCTACTGCCCGCCTCAAGCCATGCAGCCCCTGGTCAAATTGGTGCAAACCCGCCAAAACCAACCTGCGTCTGGCCGTGGTCGTAGGTGTATCCTACTACGGTGGCAAAACAAATATAACTCGTTCCAGTACCTCAAAGGCTGCGTGTGATGGCCGTCAAGCAGGTCCAAATCTGTCTTTGCAATCACATTCCCGAGCTGGATTTGCTCCTCACTGCCTTGTGGGTCAGGCTATTGAGCCAAATGCTCCGGGTGGAGTCCCTCAAGCAAACCTCCGAAGCACAATGACCACCTCGCGTGCGATTGCCCACCGATCCAATCGTATGCCTGCGCGCAAAGCACTCAGCATCGGATGCTGGAACGTGCGCACACTACTGGACCGGAACTCCAGCGAGCACCCGGAGCGACGCACTGCACTGGTCGCGATGGAGCTGGCGCGTTGCCACATCGATATTGCGGCGCTCAGTGAAACTCGGCTCGTTGAGCAAGGTAAGTTGCATGAAGCAGGTGCTGGCTACACATTCTACTGGGTGGGCAACGCCGCCTCAGCACCACGTGAACATGGGGTCGGATTTGCAATATCCGATCGCCTCCACGGCCAGCTGGTGTGTGAACCAACTGGCATCAGCGCGCGACTGATGACTGTTCGCCTACGACTCGGAAGACGTGAGTTTGCCACTTTTATAAGCACGTACGGTCCGACCATGTGTTATCCTGATAACACGCGTGATCAATTCTACACTGAACTATCCTCCGTGATACGGTCTG